CTCTTACCCCCTGTTCACCCATCTCCAGTAGGAGTCCAAGATGGTGGATCCGTGATGCGGTAGTTGATAGGGAACTTCTGCATGTATCTCTCCTCACTCTCTTTTCTTGGTCAGTTTCTTATTCCATTTGGTGCTTGGCTGAGTCCTTTATCTCTTCATTTGATGCTTAGGGTTTCAGGATTTACGTGTGACTCTGTTAGATTTAGTTTTTCGGATCTTTGCTGTGGAGGGATTTCGTTGTACTTCTATCTATAGCGCCATGTTGCCCTTCGTTTGATTTCTTGACTGCTGCTTCCATGGGCATTGACTGTGGATCCAAGTAAAATGAAATCCTTGACAATTTCAGTATTTTCTCTGTTTATCATGAAGTTATTTGTAGGTCCAGTTGTGAGGATTTTTGTTTTCTTTATGTTGAGGTTAATCCATACTGAAGGCTGTAGTCTTTTTTTTTTTTTAATGCCATTAGGTGAAAGTTTACAGAGCAAATTAATTTTCCATTTGATACTTTGTACATAAAGTGTTCTATGGCATTGGTTTCATTCCCCACAATGTGCCCACACTCCCCCCATTTCTGGCCTAGTTCTCTGTTTCCTTTCATCCTGAATTAATACTCTTTCCTGCTGAAGGCTGTAGTCTTTGATCTTCATCAGTAAGTGCTTCAAGTCCTCTTTGCTTTCAGCAAGCAAGGTTGTGTCATCTGCATAGCAGAGGTTGTTAATGAGTCTTCTTCCAGTCCTGATGCCCAATTCTTCATATAGTCCAACTTTTCAGATTATTTGCTCAGCATACAGATTGAGTAAGTCTGGTGAAAGGGTACAACCCTGATGCACACCTTTCCTGATTTTAAACTGTGCAGTATCCCCTTGTTTTGTTTGAATGACTGCCTTTTCGTTTATGGACAGTTTCCTCATGAGCAATATTAAGTGTTCTCGAATTCCCGTTCTTGGAAATGTTATCCATAACCTGTTATGATCCACATAGTCGAATGCCTTTGCATAGTAAATAAAACACAGGTAAACATCTTTCTGGTAATCTCTGCTTCCAGCCAAGATCCATCTGACATCAGCAATGATATCCCTCATTCCACACACTCTTATGAATCTGGCTTGAATTTCTGGCAGTTCCCTGTCGATGTACCCCTGCGACTATTTTTGAATTATCTTCAGTAACATTTTACTTGCATTTGATATTAATAATATTGTTCGATAATTTCACATTCTGTTGGAAACCCTGGTGGCGTAGTGGTCAAGAGCTATGGCTGCTAACCAAAAGGTCAGCAGTTTGAATCTACCATGTGCTCCTTGGAAACTCTATAGGGCAGTTCTACTCTCTCCTATAGGGTCGCTATGAGTCAGAATTAACTTGATGGCAGTGGGTTGGGTTGGATCACCTTTCTTTGGAAGGGGCACAAACATGGATCTCTTCCAGTCAGTTGGCCAGGTACCTCTCTTCCAAATTTTTTGGCATAGAGGAGTGAGTGCTTCCAGCGTTGCATCCATTTCTTGAAACATCTCAGTTGGTATTCAGTCAATTCCCAAACCTTGTTTTTCTCCAATGCATTCAGTGCAGCTTGGACTTCTTCCTTCAGTATCATGGGTTATTGATCATATGCTACATCCTGAAATGGTTGAACATCAACCAGTTCTTCTTGGTACAGTGATTCTGTGTATTCCTTCCATTTTCTTTTGATGCTTCCTGCATTGTTCAATATTTTGCCCGTCCTCTGTTGCCGTTGAGTCGATTCTGACTCACAGAGACCTTATAGGACAGAGTAGAACTGCCCCATAGGGTTTCCAAGGAGCAGCTGATGGATGCTAACTGGTGACCTTTTGGTTAGTAGCCAAACGCTTAACCACTGTGCTGCTAGAGCCCCATTTTGGCCATAGAATCCTTCAATATTGCAACTCAAGGCTTGAATTTTTTCTGTAGTTCTTTCAGCTTGAGAACTACCAAGCGTGTTCTTCACTTTTGGTTTTCTAACTCCAGGTCTTTGCACAGTTTATTTTAATACTTTCTCTTCTCGAGCCGCCCTTTGAAATCTTCTGTTCAGCTCTTTAATTTCATCATTTCTTCCATAAAGATTACAGCCTTGGAAACAGTATGGAGCAGTTCTACTCTGTCCTATAGGCTTGCTATGAGTCAGAATCACCTCGAGGATAATGGGTTTATGGTTCCAACGTGTTAGTGCCAGAATCTGAGCCCTAATTGCTCAGGTGTCTACCCCTGAGAAGCCTTTAGCCTAGATTGCTGTCCAAATTACCAGTCCTGGGAAATTTCTCTTTAAATCCTTAAAGCAAAACCTTTTTTTTTGATTTGCTCTCTCACAATCCTGTTTAATTGCCTCAATTGTGCTATAATAAATACGGATCATTTTAAAGGCCATACCGTCCTCTTTGCAACTTTCCTTATTTTCCTGTAAAATAAAACAACAAAAAAACCTCTAACATTTTCAAAAACTTTCAGGTGAAAGTTTACAGTGCAAATTATTTTCTCATTAAAAAATTTATACACAAATTGTTTTGTGACATTAACCAATGTCACATTGTGTCAGCACTCTCTTTTTTTTCACATTTTGCATTCTCTATTTAATCTCTCCTGTTCTTCTTCCTTCCTCTTCCTCTTCCTCTCATCTTCATTCTTCCTTTCTTAAATCATCACTGTATTTTATTGAAGACAACTGTACCAATTCCTCCTTTTCTCTTGCTCTTTAAATTGTTGTGCTCATGTTTTCTTAAAACATAGAAATATTCACTGGTTATATTTTTTAATGCCTGCAAGATTTTTTTGATTCTTTTGGCTAGAAAAGAATCAGTTACGTTTCCCCTCAACAAATCTTTAAGATGTAAGAATTAGATGAACTTTGAAAATTGTGTATAATGCATAAATATAGCTGAATGAACCCCCCAGAAATGGTAAGAGTTATTAACCCTGGTGACAAGTGGGGGCCCAGGATCTGGGGTGAGAGAAACACTTATTTTTTCACGTAAATCCTTTTGAATTTTTTCCTAAATGCAGTTATTATTATTTTAAATCTTCTTTGTTCATTAAACAAGTTTATATCCTCACCTAATATAAAATGGTTCCTAATAAAAAGATTAAAGAGATTATTGAAATTTCCTGTCTTATTATATTCATTTAACCATCTAACCCAACCACCCAATTATCCATCATTAAATTCAGAGGTTTAGAGGCAAATGGGAGCTTCCTAAAACCTGGTTTACGCTATTTTAATTTCTACCACTTCTGGCCCACATTTCTCCTGCAAATAGCTCAGTGCTTTGGCAGACAAGCTATTTAATGCTTTCATTGGCTGCTGAAAAGACCTGAGCTTTCCAAATCCCCTGCACTTTCTAATGGAAGCCAAAAGGACGGCCCAGCCCAATCCCGGAGTACACAAAGCTTCCAAGTTTCTCGAAGCAACAAAAATGTGATAGTGCAAAGATGCATACGGAAGCAGTTTGCACTCTCCCCTTTCCTGTGGTGTTTAGTGTTTTGGATTCATCATTGTTTCAGGAGATAGAATGAAGAGAAAAGGAAAAAGGGAAGCGCCCATGGCTCCCCAGTTGGTTGGGTTTCTCCACCATCCACCTTATCTCTTCATGGGTCTGTGTGTCCTGCATGTCCTTAACTGATCTGGAATACTCTGATAGAGGATTATCTTGAGCTCTAATGGCATATGCAGGGTCCTTGGGTGGCACAAACAGTTTGTGCTCAACTACTAACCCATCTGTGGCATTGTGGAAGAAAGGCCTGGCGATCTGCTCCTGTGAAGATTTGTTGTTGTTGTTAGGTACCATTGAGTTGGTTCTGACTCGTAGTGACCTTATGTATCACAGAATGAAATGTTGCTGGGTTTTGCACTACCCTCACAATCATTGCTATTATGAACCCATTGTTGCAGCCACTGTGTCAATCCATCTCATGAAGGTCTGTTCTACTCTGTAACACGTGGGGTCACCATAGAGTTGGAATCAACTCTAGAGCAATAGTTTTTTTGTTGTTGTTTTTAAAATGGCATATTCATGACAGAAGCAGCTGTAGGAAGCCACAGCACCCGCCTTCACTTCGAGATTTTCACCAGGCTTTTTGTTTGTTTGATTGCTTTTTGGCTGGAATCTGCAGCACTCTGGCGGATTCTGCAGACAGGGCAAAAGGAACCTTTGAAAAGCCAGAAAACAAGACGCCAAGCCAGGCGCAGAGCTGTGGGGCTGAGCCTGGATGTAGTGGCTTAAACCAAAATGATATCCACTTCTCTCCTCCCCATTCCATTGGCCCATCCAGAGTTAGGCTCCTAGCTTGCTCTTCTTACACTCATCAGAGAGCAGGATACATCAAGGGACCCCCTGTGGGGTATGATTAAGACTACACCCTATCTGGTCCCCACTGAAACTTCAATATGAGAAAACCAAACACCGAAAAAAAGAAAGGGGGAAATGGGTTCAAAGTAAGGCCATTAAAGATGCTTCTGTTGTGACATTTCCTTGGCTTAGACATCCCCTCTGTTCTCTTTTCGGATGGGCAAATATCAGTCAGCAGGCTGAAATAGAAGCATGGGACATTGCAAAATCCCTGACATTTCCTGTGTCAGACAGACAGTGATCGAGCTTTTTACTTCAGGCATTTGTCTGCATCTTGGATGACAAAAAATGATCTAATGATGGATGAAATTGAAAAAATAGTCTGGGTTGCCACCTCACCAGTTATATGTGAAAAAATATATGTTGTTGTTGTTGTGTGCAGTCGAGTTAATTCTGACTCATAGTGGCCCTGTATGACGGAGCAGAACTGCCCCATAGGATTTTCTAAGCTGTAATCTTTACAGGAGCAGATCGCCAGGTCTTTTCTCTTGCAGAGTGACTGGTGGGTTCTAATCACCGACTTCTTGTTTAGCAGCTGAGCGTTTAACCATTGCACCACCAGGGTATATAGATATATACCCTGAAATAGGATAATAAATAGAAAATGTCTGAAATCATCTGATACAATTATTTTCAATTTAGGAGCATCATGAGACCATCAAGGACTCATCAACCAGCTCCACTCTGTCATTCAAACAAGATCACAGTCTGGAGACCAGACATATTCGCGCTTGCCTCTGGAACCTGGCTTACCATCAGCTAAAGGCCAACGAGTGGCAGAGGCTGGCCCGTTTGTGGAACTTCACAGATGACCAGATTCGAGCCATTGAGGAGCAGTGGTCAGGTGAGCACAGTCTAGCTGATGTGGGCGGGAGGCATTTGGCATTTGGCATTAGGAACAGCAGTCTTTCCTGGTGTCAGGAGCTTCCACACAGGTGCCCGGTGCTCAGGATACTCAGCCAACTCCAAGGTCCCCAGGAATAAGAACAATTAGCTGAGGTCCACAAAGGTGCTTGGAAACTTTGCAGTGGGTTAACACTCATGGAACTCTGCAGTGAACTGAAGTTTGCAAAGGGCGAGCCCTTTTATTGAGCCACATTGAAAAGGTGGCATTTGGCCTAGAAAGGAATTAATATTCTCAACTGAATGGGCACTAAGGAAGCAAGGGGTCAAAAATTGACCTGTTATCGGAAGCCAACCTTTCTTAACAAATGTTCCTGGAGATTGTCCTGGGTGAGTGGGTTTATTCCCTGATCGAAAGGCTTGCTGCTTAGGGCTCCACTCCAGGCAGAAATCCCTTCCACCAGGTTGGGGGCAGGGGAAGCTTGGAGCAACTCGTCCCTATGCTCTTGGTGCTTGGCAGAGCCTGACTATCCCCTGAGAGACATGTGGCATACAGACTCGGAGGGCTCTCTCGGTTAAATGATTCCAAGTGATTGAATCATCTCAGCCAGACTCCAGCTGTCAGAATTACTGAGCTCAGCTCAGCTCAGCTGGATCCTTTAGCTTCGCGTTTATGCTAACTTGACCAAGACCAAAAAACCAAACCCACTGCCGTCCAGTCAATTCCGACTCCAACTTGGAAACCTGTATAACAGAGTAGAACTGCCCCGTGGGGTTTCCAAGGCTATAAGTCTTTACAGAAGCAGACTGCCACATCTTTCTCCTGCAGAGTGGCTGCTGGGTTTGAACCATCAACCTTTTGGTTAGCAGCTGAGTGCTTTAACCACTGTGCCACGAGGCTCCTCCGTTTCTTGTTCAGACCTTAGGAAATCTAAAGAGTTTGCTTGGCATTAATCAACTAATTCCTTTAAAAAACAGTGTATAGGGACCAAATTTTATTAGTGGTCAGGGGTGGGTGGGAGGAAAGGGTAAATCATTGCTTAGGGGACACTGAGCTTCTGTTAAGGGTGATGGAAAAATTTGGAAATGGATAGTAGTGATGGTTGAACAATATGATGAACATAATGTCACTGAATTGTACATGTGAAGAAGGTTGAAATCGCAAATGTTTTGTTACATACATATTTGTCACAATAAAAAAATAATAAAACAGTAACAATAACAAAGGAGCTAATGCTTTTCACAGCATACCTTTCTTTTGAACTCAAAATTTAATCTTCATTTATTATTTTTCATGTATATATATTTGTGTTTTAGGTGAAAGTTTACAGCTCCAGTTAATTTCTCATACAAAAATTTATACACATATTGTTTTGTGACATTAGTTGCAGTTCCCACAATGTGAAGCACAGTCCCCCTTTCCACCTCGGGTTCCCTGTGTCTGTTCAACCAGTTCCTGTCCCTTCCTGCTTTCTCCTCCTGCCTCTGGACAGGAGCTGCCCATTTGGTCTCATGTATCTGATTGAACTAAGAAACACATTCCTCACATGTATTATTTTTTGTTTTATAGTCCTGTCTAATCTTCACAGCATAGCTTTCTATTCAGAGACATGCATGAGTGTGTCCCGTGCTCAGTGGGTGATTCACTTTAACAATGCTGGGACTTGTAGATGGCAGAACCACAGCCCCATGAGCACATGCTGCTTCTACAACATACATCATGGGGCTTCTTACTGCTAATTCTAAGGAGACATCTTCATGTGACAAAATGGAAGATAATGCACTGAAAATGTTGAATATTGGCTAGTTTCTGAAAAAAAATTTTTTATTGCTGCTTATTAGGCACATAGCATTCTGTGAAGTCTTTAGGAAAACTGAGTTTCCTTTTGGAAATCTCTCTTGATAGAAGAAGTGACTTGAAAATATAGTGCACCTTCAAAGTATTTTCAGTCCAACATTTATTGAGTGCCTAGTATGTGCTTAACTCTGCCAGGTGAGGGATACATCAGCTCTCTAAGCCATGGTGCGTGTTTGAAGGGGTTTATAATCTAGTTGGGATGATGACAATAACATTTATGATTCAATTATACTGTAATCCAGAGTAACGCCCCAGCACTAGGAAGTGTGCAGGTTTTTGAGCGAAGGAGTGACATGCTGAGGATGGTACTTAAGAAAAATACATTTAGCACAGCGGGATTAGGAGAGAGAGGCAGGCAGGAGGAATAGAGCATTCGCCTAGAACATCCTTTGTGCGGGCAGTTCTCTCTCCCTGGAAATGTTCCCACCTCCTCGACTCCCACCCCCACCCCCACTTCAGGCTCTCCTTTTCGAGGCAGCTGTCTGCTCTTGAACATACTTTGACAAAGTCCTGAGCCTGTTGTGTGTTTGTGAACTCCTGCGGGAGTGACGATGACTTCTCACCTCCAAATCCCAACACCTCACTCAACAGCTGTCTAGTGAGTATTGATCAAATGAATAACCCTGACATGGGGGATGCAGATTTCAATCAGTGTAGTTTCCTTGAAGCTGGATGGCAGCCTGGTGCGTGATTCCTACTCAGGATGTGGTTTACAGACCAGCAGTAGCAGTAGTGAGAGCTTGTTAGACAGGCAGATTCTCAGGCCCCACCCCACCCAGACCTGCTAAATCACCATCTGCATTTTAACAAAAATCTTCAGGTGAAATATGCACTTTAAAATTTGCAAGGTGCTGGTCTATCGCAGTGCTACCTGAACACGTAGGAAGAGCTCCAAATCTCATTCAGATGTCCATGAGCACGGGGTGGGGGCTGCACCTAGAAATCTCTGGGTCTGTGACAAGTATGGTGAGTGCTGAAGTAAATCCCAACGTGGGTCAACCTAAAGCACTAGTGAGGGGGGCTGGAAGGCTTCATCCACTGGGCATTTTTATCTAATAGCTATCAGAAGAGAAATGAATGTGCAACCATAGTCATAAAATTTAGTCAGAATTGAGACAATAGAGACATCAGCTCATCGTGTTTTACCTCTGACCTTTTGTGCCTGGCTAGGAAATGAAAGCTTCTGTGAACATGGCCACAGGGCTTTGCTCATCTGGCTGCATGGGATCCTGATGACGCAGGCCAATCTAGTCAAGCACTTATATGAAGAGCTGGGACGTGCAGGTTTCCCAGAACTAGCTGGTGAGTTATGGTTTTCAACAAATAGCTACCAAATCCTTCCTTAAAATGGCAGAGGGTGGTCAACAGAAATAGTACCAACTCTGAACAGCAGTACCAGCTTGGTGTTAGCTGTGTAACCTGATGGGAATGGGTCCTGCCACCTGGTGCAACCCTCAAGTCAACTGAGAGACACCAGGCCTTTGAGAAAGTGGACTTTATTGCAAGCTGGTCAAGCAAGAAGCCCGGAGACTTAAGTCTCAAATCAAGCTCCTGGAAGTTGGGGATTTTAGGGCAGTTATAGGGTTCGGGATAGGGAACTTATGCATAATTCATGAAGTTTCTGAGAATAGGTGGGCAATTTCAGGAACTAATTAACATGTATGGAGTGCACTGGGGGTGCAATATGACGGCTGGGGCGGGGGGTATGACACATGAAGTTTATCTAAGGCCAGCTTTGCAGCTTGTTGCTCATATCCAAGTAAGGGGTGGTGGGGGGTGGTTGACTAGTGGTGAAGCAGCCTTGAGCAGAGAAGCATTAGGACAACCTTGTGTTGTTACCCAGACAACACAGAAATGTCTTATCAGGAACTCAGACAGCCTGGCTGGGATGGGGGCGGGGGGGGGGAATAGTTTAACTCCTTCAGTTACATTTCAGAAGGCGGAACAGTTTAACCCTGTCGGTTACAGCTGTGGCTCATATGGAATCTGAAGCCACGGAAAGGGTTTATAAGATGCCAGCAGGTTTTTTGGTGAGTGACCTCATCAATATTGGTCACATTATATATAGCCTAGCAGTTCTCAGCGTTGTCCCCTACAGGGCATTTGGAGAAGCATAGGAGTATTTTTTTTTGTTCATGTGTACGGGTGGGGCCGGGAATGCTAAACCATCTCATAACGTTATAGGATAGTTCCCCAGGATTAAGAATTGTCTTGCTCAAAATACCATTACGCCCCTGTTAGGAGAGTTAGTATGCTTGAAAATATATTATCTCTACTTTGCGAGAAAGGGGCAGATTGGCTATTACTTTGCCAACTGAGGCTACTACTGAAACCTACTCTAATAGACCATATTGTCAGGAAAGATGCTTTGAAACATCAATAAATTAGGTGACGTTATAACTCTCATTTAATAATAACCATTCAAGCAAATTATAGGGACATCTGCCATTATTTTCACTGATGCAGTTTTACCTGAACCTGATACCCTAAATGACCACTGGTCCAATATTCTGTTTCAAGCAGTGGTAGGTACAAGGAACAGTGCATGGATGATATCTACCTTCCATGACATTATCCTCATAACACTGGGATTTGCCCCTCAGCTTTAATTAAGTATATTCTTTTCTATAGAAGAGTAACCATAAGAGCTCTCTGGGAAGACTAAGAGGCAGTCCGCTGAACTGGTGAAGGGTATTGCTCTAGAGCAAGACTGTGGTTCATATCTGAACTCCAAAACTGACCAGCTATGTTGTCTTGGGCAAGTTACAGAACCTCACTGTGCCAGTATTCTTATTTAGTAATTAGGGAAGAAAATTCAAGTGTCTACTTCAAAGGGCTGTTTGGGATTAAATGAATAGTATAGTGCCTGGTACATAGTTAGCTATTAGCAATAAGCATTATCCTATTTTTTTCCAGAAAAGATGCGTCAATTCAAAAGCGAAACTGACTCAAGAGCCAAGAAATGTGCAGTTTCATAAGTGCCTAAAGAGAAATTGTGTTCCACTGATTTTCCACTCAGCATTCAGTTCTTTAATGTCATGAAGTTCTGCTAGCAGTATTGATTTTCCTTCTAGTAGATGAAATAAAAAGGATAATACTATTATACATTCCAACCACTGCAATGAAAGCTGAATATTCTTTTTGGTTTTGCTTATTAAGACAAGTCGTACATGAGTTTCCCATTTTTGTCATTTGATGCAACATATATAAGAGCATAATCCAGGAGGGTTTTAAAACACATGTGATGGTGGCAGCAGCATCATGGTATATAGAAAGACTAAGGATTTTAGAACAGACAGACATGGTTTTGAATACTGGTTTTGCCACTTATTAGTTGTCTTTGGGCACATTAATCTTGAGTTCTCAGCTCTTTGGTTTCCTTCTCTACAAAAAGGTGGGAAATACCTACCTACTCCACAGGGCTGGAATAAGGATGAAGTGAGAATGACTGTGAAATGCCTAACCTCACGCCCCAGTGTTGAAATCATTAACTGCTGGTTGTTTCTCTTAAGAAAATCTGGTTTGGGAATTTATAGTCACTGTTGGCTTTAAGGAGCCCTGGTGGTGCAGTGGTTAAGAGCACTGGCTGCTAACCCAAAGGTCAGGAGTTTGAATCCACCAGCTGCTCCTTGGAAACCATATGGGGCAGTTCTACTCTGTCCTATACGGTTGCTATGAGTCGGAATTGACTCGATGGCAAGGGGTATGTATGGCTTGGCTTTAAATAATATATATGTGTAATGTATTATTTAGAAAAGACCAAAGTACATACACTAACATATTGTTTATGCCTTGGTGTAATTACAGGTGATTTTACTTTTCTTTGTATTTTTTTGAATTTTCTAATTTTTTTCACAATGAACATGCATTACTTTTGTAACCTGAGAAAGTTATGAAATAAATGTGCAATCAAGTATAAGTTTGTACCAACTTATGTACAACTATTCATTATAATTTAAGGCTGTCCATTCTCAAATTCTGACTCTAAATCTGTAAGGGTGGTAATAAAATCATGAGCAATTTCAGTCCAGTTACTATCATGAATTTAGTTTTACATGTCTGTCTCGTGCTTATTGTAAATGACCCACTTAATGTTATGAATTTTTAAAATAAGCAATACGTTCACGATTCAAAATTTTTTTTCAAAAGGCATTCAGTGATGATAAGTCTTGTCTCCATCTGTTCCTCAGTATGCTCAGTTTCCACTGACCCCACTACCATCTCAACAAAACAAATCCAGGCAACCTTATTACGCAAAAATAAGCAAATACAAATAATAAATACTCTTACTGTATGTTGTTGTTAGTTGCCATTGAGTTGATTCTGACTCATGGAGACTCCATGTGTGCAGAGTAGACTTGTTCTATAGGGTTTTCAAGGCTGTGACCTTTTGGAAGCAGATGGCCAGGTCTGTCTTCTGAGACTCCCGTGGGTGAGTTCAAACTAACTGCCAACCTTTCGGCTAGTAGTCTAGTGCTTAACCATTTGTGCCACCCAGGGACTCCATCCTCTTACTGCATAAAATGTTTTACTTGTTGAATTTGAGTTAACTTAGGCCAACACTAATTACTAGGTGCTTCAGACAATATACTCAAGTATCTGATGTGAGGGGAGTTTCCCTGGGGTTGTGACCTGCATCCGATATATATGGATGCTCTAGCAAAGCTCTCCCTTGCTGTGGATCCTGCATCTGGCTTGTCATCATCTGACCTCTGGTTCTTGGAACTTGAGCCAGCAACCTGCCATCTGACCTGCCAATTCTGGGACCTGCTAGCTTCTGCAGCCCCATGGGCCAGTAGCCTGCCATCTGACCTGCTGATTTTGGGTTTGTTAGCCCCTGCAACCATGTAAGTCATGAGAAGCCTCCAGCAGCCTGATGCCTGACCCACGGATTTGGGAGTTGTGAGTATCCACAACCATGTGAGCCATTTCCTTGAGATAAATCTCCCTCTCTCTCTCTCTCTATGCTTTGCTGGTTTTGCTTCTCTAGAGAACCCAACCTAAGACAATCAGTAATCAGTGACAAGCTGAACACATTAAAAAACACTAAGTCCAGTTTCTCTTTTAATTTAAAAAGTTTTACTTAATTGCTTAAATTAAAAAAATAACATTAAAATAATTTCTACATATAGTTACAAAGGATGGTACAGTTTGAAAAAGTCTCTTGTAATTTTGAAAAGATGAACATGATGGATCCATAGTGTTCTAAGAATAGGGAAAAATTTTAAACTAAAGACTTCTATTCCTTGGTAAAGCCAGAGGAACTAAAAGACCTCAATATATACATACTCACTTTAGTCAACCACTTTTATGGAATGAATGCTTGTGAGAGACTGGGTGTGAGCTGATCTGGTTCCGAGAGATCTGGAAGCTGAAGCACTACCTTCAGGATGAATAGCCCGGGGATATTTTGCTGCAGTAGCTTGAGGAATGGTTTGCTGAAAAGATAAAAATCTGCTTTAATAGTTGCATAAATTATTTTTATTAATCATCACTTCATCTATAATTTAACCCAACAACCATTTGTTAAGCACCCAGTAGACAAAAGCAATGAGATGGATGAGTAGCCATCAAAACAAACAAGATGTGATCCTTCTCCATGAGGAACCCACACTCAGACTGATGTGTTCAACAACCACAATTTAGTATTTTCAGAGGCACATAAAAGGAGTCATGGGAGTCATTCTTCAAAGAACAATCAAGTGGAATCTTGTAATGTTTACAGAGGCTTAGAAAGGGACCTTGTGGTGTTTGGAAGAAGGGTCAGCCCCAAGCCATCCCCTCATTCCATCCAACTTCCTCCTCTCTGTATACGACTACTGATAACGTGGAGTCCAGTCATGAGGTACCTGAGGAAGTCCTGAGAATCCAGTCTGGTCCTTGCTTCAAACCAGAGTAAAGCAAAGCCCCTATATTTCACCTGGTTTCCCAGAAGAGCTACTATCAATTACTGAAATCTGACTGAATCCTCTATGATCACACAAGAGATCTTCCCAGAGGCCTGGTGGTCCTCTAATATAGACCACAACTTTCTAAACAAGGAAATAACTAAACGTTGGGAACATGTTGCACAAAGGATATATACACTACCTCAGAGCTCAGAAGAACATTCTTCAATATGAGCATCGAAGTGTTAAAGACTAAGTCACACGTGCCCTGACTTTAAGTGTAATGTCTTAAAAAGTACAAGGTCTTACTATATTATACCTGATACAGCTACTAGTACATATAGATTTCTATTCAGGTCTTTCTCTCAGAAAAATCTTCAAAATACTTGAAGTAAAATTATATATGTTTAATCAAAACATTCACTTATGTATTTCAAAAACTCAAAGATACAGCTTTTGCTTAAAAAAAATGAATGAAACCTCTTAAAAACAAAAGGCCCTATGTCAGATTATACTTTCAAAATAACAGAACTCTTCTTTAGAGAAATGGAAAAATAACCTTTCTTAAAGCACTTTGTACAAATGTTTCTTTGTGCATCAATAATTGGATAACCATTACAAACGGAAGGTGTTCTTGCAACTGGTATGAAATTTTAGTTTCCAACCACCTTATCTGGCCCTATCAAAAGAACTATTTCTCCTTGGGGAGGATGGCAAGAGGAATCGTAGAAATAGATTAAAGTTACCATTGGTATTAGGATATACAAAATACAGAGAATGAAGTAGCACTAGGAGAAAGCAATTGTCCAGCAGATGGGGCTAATGTGTCACAAATGTGACTCATGGTTTATTGATAATAACTTTCTGGTAGTTCTAGATCTCAATTCCTTGGATAAAATGAAAAAGAGGACAGAGGACTACCATTGTGCCCATCACATAATTCAAATTAGGTAACAATGGATGCAGTTTACGGCTATCCAATATGTATCAATTACTGGAGAAGTACCCCATGTGCTGAACAAGCAGATGGCAGTCTGTGAGATAAATATATAAAAAACTCTTTAAGGTTCTCAATTCCTTGATTTTTCTTCTGTAAAATATAAATCCCTATCATTATTACAAAAAACAGAAGACTGTCTAAATTAAAAATAAATAATACATATGTGCCCTCTTTATCCCTTCTTTACCTCACAGTCTCTATCTCCCTATATATTATGTGCTGATAAGAAGAGAAAATAAATCTATTTCTTCTCATTTTTGATAACTAATCCCATATATTCAAGAATACATAGAGAAATAATCTGTGGACATTCAGAGTTGCCTCCATGTCCTCTAATTGGACTTCATGCCTCCATCTCTGATCTTTCACTTCACTATGGTCATACTTTATCTTTGAATTAAATGTTGATTCACATGCAGTTCTAAGAAACAATACAAGAGATCCCATGTACCTTCCCTGGTAACTTCTGTTAAATTTGCTTATGGCTTTATAGTTTACAAAGCGTCTTTATATATCTCACTTAATTTTCACATTATCTCATTTAATTCTGAATCGTGACAACAACCTTCTCTTTATCACTCCAATTATGGAAATGGAGGCTCAAATATTTCACCTGATCTGCGTATAATCACAAAGGCAGTAAGCAGCAAAGTTGGGACAGTAACTCAGGCTTTTTTATTTTTGCTTCAAATTCCATGCATCTCCCTTTATATAACATGAACTTCTTGCCAACATGATTTTTTTTTTTAAAACTAGAAATACACTGACAATTGTACTGAGAAAAGGAGAAGATGGGGTGGGGGAGGAGCAAAAATTAAAAACTGAAAAAGTAAGGAAGTGTTTCTTGCACTCAAGTATCTACAACACAAATGCCACATTTTTGTGTCTTTTTTAAATAAACGAGAAATCATTTATATATTTTGCCTTTTTGGCCACTGACATGCTAGATTACTCTTTGTATGTGCTAATTTTTACATTGTTTGGAAAAAGTAATGTTTCCAAGATTAATTTCCCAACAGAGAAAAGGAAGATTTAGAGCAGATGATAACTATAGATATATAAAGCCTACAATAGTAAAAGGCAGAACAAGTACCAGTAATCATGAATTTTGATTAATTCCCCAACACGTTATTTCTTTTAAGTGTTAGTCTATAAACTGTTATGAAAAAGATTTTTTGACAAAGGTCATCAAATGTGGACTCACCACTGTGACTGGATGATGCTTTTCCACAACAACTGAGCTCATGGGAGGAGAAACTCCCATTATAGCTAAACCGCTACTAATTCTATTTTTTGAAGCAAAATCACATCTCCCTGTGATCCGGGCTGTAATTGTTCTTCCAGCTTTCTGTTGTGCAGATGTCACAACTCTTGGCACATACTAAAAAAAGAAAGAGATATCTAGTGGGTAGAAAATCCACAGCAAAATTTACAGTACTTTTGGTTCTATAACTTATGAAGAAAATAATTGCATATTCAACCAACTTTAAAGTAGAAAAAATAAGACTTTAACAATGAGGTAACAAACAAACCCAAAACATAAGACCAAACACACCAAAAACCTTTAACCTTGGTACACCAGTTTACAGGATTTTGTGAACTCTTTTTAAACTTTTTATCTTGAAATTCTAGATTCACAGGAAATTGCGAAGTTAGTATAGCCAGGTCCTGTGTGTTCTTCACCTGGTTTCCTGTAATGATTACATCTTACATAATTATAGTACAACACAACATCAAAACCAGGACTGACATTGGTATAATGTCTGTGTATAGATCCACACCATTTTTTCATGTGTAGATTCATGTAACTACCACAGCAATCAACATACAGAATTGCTCCATCACCACATCTCCCTCCTGCTCTCTTTAGTGTTACACCCATCCCCCCCCCAATCCCTAACCCCTGGCAACCACTGTTTATCTGTTTTATAAACTCTTAATCTTTAGGCATAATTAATATTATCACTGCATATATGCTTCTGTGTTCTGCCTTTTCACTTTATCATTTTGTTAGTATACTTTTCCATGAAGTAACAAACAAGTGCTATAATTTTTAATGAGACATTTTTAGACCGACAGATTAGTTTGTCTGACATTTTCAGTTCTTGAGCACATGTATTCTTTTCCTATTATGTTTACTGTGGTTTTGTAAAATAGGGTTTCCCTTTTCTTTTGAGAGTTATTTCCATAGAATATATTGCCCAAAATGGAATGATCATATCAAAGAGTAATGTCAGTTTCTACAGCTTTTGTTGCTTACTGCTGGATGATACTGCAGAAAAGACTATTTATGTCAGGAGGAGTAATGCATAAATGTACTCATTGTTATTTCACTGCCTATTACAATAGCTACTAGTTTAAGTCTGAGGCAGAATCTACTGCGTACATAATTTGTGGTTCTTTATTAATGTTTCATATTTGTATTCCATTTTCTCAACTACCAATGTTCTTTAACTTCTTGCCAGGGAAAGGATGGTTATTGCTCTTGCAAGTTTTTTTGAATAGCTTCTGACAAGTATTAAGCTCATTTAATACAGATACTTCTCTAATAGTAAAAGTATTTTCCTTATTTCATGATTTTCATCTGTTTTATTTTTCAGTGCACACAAGTTTTAAAAATTGTCATCAATCTTGCCATTAATTTCTTCTTACTTCCATAATTAAAACAAAAACAACCTGCTTTGGCCAGCTGTGATAATTTTACTCTTACTATTTCTAATGTTCAATTTTTTAATTCATTTTAAAAATCTGAAATTTCAGTGTCAAGTACTGGTCTAAATTCATTTTCTCTCTAAATACAGTTTTTCCAAAAGCACTGATTAAACATTCACCTTTTCCCCATTGTTATAGTCCATCTAAATTGTCATTCATTAAGTTACTCATATGTTTGAAACTAGCTGTACATGTCAAAGCTGTATACTGAAACAGAACAACAGTGGGCTGCAACAGAGAAGACTCTGGGAAAATTAAAATGACAGAATATTGATGTGTTTAGAGGACCCCAGGGAAAACAGCATTAGTGATGTCTTGCAATTCCTTGGAGTTTGGAAAGAATCAATTATAGTTGCATAGAAAACCAATCCAAAAGAAAAAAAAAAAAAAAAGAATTCTACGAACAAAAAATTGTACTAGAAAGGAAATGTAGTTATAGTATACACTCATAGTTTAGCTGTATTTTCAGTCATCACAGATACTGATTTAATCAAAAGTTAGATTATCTACATTTATTATCTGTATATCTAGGGAGGGTGGCAAAAAAGAAGACAAAGAAAGGGAGTAAGGTGGTATCAGAAGTCCAAATCCTTTTCAGCCATAATAGGAAGTGAGGAGATAATGTCTGAAACTGATAAATTTAGAAAAAATGGTAAGAATAGATTCTTTAGGAAAAAAAGGTAACTAGAAACAGCTAACAGAGTTTAGGGAGAGGGATTTAGAGAACTGTTTCTCATTATAATCCTTGCAGAAACTACTTTACTTTTTAAACTATGAACTTTTCTGGATCTTATGAATTTGAGAAACCAAATACCAGATTTTTAAAAAATCACAAATATGTTTTGTGGACTAAATTCATGCTTCTGACCTGGGGAACCTTTATTCTTTCTACTTCTTGTTAAAATAAGGTACAAAAAAGATTTTATAAACTGCTAAAGAGACTTAAAACTATAAAGAAAAAACCGACACCAAGGAAATTCTGCACCAATAATTAAAAAACTGAACTTTTAACCTTATTCCTGCCCTATCACACTTGAGGGGTATAATATACTCCCATCAATAATGACTGTTCGCACCTGGAGGGTAAAGGAATGCATGAACAGCTACAGAAGTTTTGGACTGAGAAAAACAGTTGGAAAATGCCCATAGGTGATAAGCCTCTCCTCTCCGAGCTGAGAACTGATACAGAATGCCTTCAATAAGATGTAAATATATACTCCAATAAACAGACTTCTTAAAGACATCCCTATGAACTCATTGATTTAAATAGAAGCTGCCTTAAATAACTTGCATATTTACCAAGTCGGTTGTTTGTATTCAAATTTTGTGACATTTGTACTGTTAATAATACCTATATGATTTAATTAAAAATTATATAAACTGATTTAAAGGAGTTGTTTTGAAAACCAATATGCACATTTCAAAAGAATTTATATAAATTATTAGGAAAAACTGCTGCTAAATCAGGTGGAGAAAAACTTTTTTAAAATCCAGAAGGACTCTGTAATTAGGCTGCTTCGTAAGTTTTGTTAGGTTCATGCTTTACTTTGTAGAAACTGAAATTGGAAATCACAGAAAATACACTGTGAATGTGGCTAATATAAAAAGGTGACTTAATTACAATCAGTGGACACATACTCAGTTTGGCTCCACATTAAAAACTGGCAAATTAATACATATTCATGTTTCAGGATAAAATTATGTGTAAGGTATGCATGTACACTTTTAAAATATCATTCTCTGCTTTAACTTTTTTGATTAAATGCCAATTACTGGTCCCAATCATGTTGGGTCCTATTAAATTTCTCAGCTTAGGTGACTTAGAAAATGCTATAAAAAAAATTCTAGCATTTTAAGCCATATCAACATGACAAAATCTAAATGAATATTAAAAAAAGGAAATGACATATCAAAAAAACCCGATATTTGTATCTTAACATTTGGCAGAGACACTATATATTACTGGTTAAGAGTACAGAACTCTGAAGTCAGACTGTCAAGGTCTGAATTCCATCTCTAATGTATTTAATTGTGTCCATGGCCAAGTTACTCTGAGACTCAATTTCCTCATTTATAAAATGGGGAAAACTATGTTATCTGCCTAGTGATACCCTTTAATCTCCAATTCAGATTAAGAGGAAAGTTAGATGAGAACCTTATTAAATAGGCTTAAAATCAAACTAAAAATATTTTCCCTCAATAATTCCAATTTGAGTTAGAAAAGATTAAAGTGCCATCTACTGTTCAAGCTAGTGAACTGCAACATATTTGCTTGTCCTAATCTATTTTTTGAAAAACGTTTTCTACCATGAAATTCTAATATTTTATTTATACTGAGGATCTTTACAGAAAAGGAAATAATTTTACAGATAAAGGCATTATTTCATTAGGTTAATAATCTTTCTCCAGACATTTGCTTCCCAATTCTCTATAGTTTACTTTCTGCACACAACTCCTTTTAGTTACTGGAAATACTGATGAAGAGTAGAAAAAGTTTTGAATGTTCACAGGAAGCCTCTGTGATTAAAATGAAAACAAAACAAAAACAAAAGAAACAAACCTGGGCCTGGGCCTGGATCAAAAGTCCTTCCCAACAATGATGGCTTCACGTTAGGAAAGTTAGCCAACTAATATATTTGTTCCTACTTTTGTTATTAGGGGTCTTTTAAAAAACAAGAGATATTTGAGGTAAACCTGAGTATTCCAGTTATATAAGGAAAGAAGAAATCTAGCATTATAGTTACAGATTGACTTACCTATGATTCTCCTTTCCCCTTGGCCCTAAAGGGTATATTCATGTGAACAAAACTGAATGTATACGTTTTCAAAGGAGAGGGATGTAGTGTATGCGTATGTGTTGGTGGGGGGTGGTTTAGGTGGGGGAGAGAGGGCTGTCTATACAATCCTGTGTTTTTCAGGTTTCAAAGACTTCAAAAAATCTAAGATGATCAAATTATTTCAAGAAGGGTAGTAAAACAAAAAGGGTGGTAAACAAATTCATTTAGTTTTTCTCATGCATATTCAGGTTTATAGGTAAATCCATCCACATGAACAAATAGTGCAGTCGCATATTAAGAAGGAAATTTTGACAAATTTAGCTGAATATACAATGTGAATGACAAACCAGAAATTTAAATAAACACTCACTGTGCTTACTTAAATGAGATCATTTGTATAGGACTACTCTTAAAATGTATAATCATAAAAGATAAACATAGCTGAGTACATGTCCGGGTGAATTTTAGTTAAGTATCTTATTTCTAAGGTAAAATTCCCCTGCACATTCAAATTTCTCTTACCAGTCATGTACCATATGACACAATATTTAGCCTCCTTGAGTCAAGAAGAAACATAATAAATAACAGATCTCAACAGAGTTAGTAGCTTCCAAAAGGTAGAAATTGGGAGACACTCAAGTCAGCTGGAACATTGAAGATGACCAACTGTCTGGTTGACTCAGTGCCTCCCAAAGAGCTGTCCAGAGCAATGACACCTTCTGATGGCTACCAGGGGAACTTTTAAGATCTAAAAACTAGTCTGCCATCTTCTTTCCTCTTATGTAAGTGGTTAGGGGTTAGGGAGAAAAAGGAGACAAGAAAATCAGAATCATCTCAGAAGCCTTATCAAATTATGCATGCCTTTGTGCCACAGCCCAGACAGAACAGGGAAGAAGGGTATAGTGTTTTTAAAAAAGCCCTGCAGAGATGATTCTCACAAACTTGGCTTGTATTCCTACTCTTTCTCTGTTGAACAACAGCATTTGAAGGATGCAGGTCTAATAACATGAGGCCAAGGGGAAGGAGTTAGAGACATGATGTACTTTGGTCTGTAATTCTGACCATATTAATACCTAGGTTAATTTCACCTCAGGAAGTTCTCACACAAATATGCCATCCCCATTAAATGCTCTCCTCTATGCACCTCTCTAATCACAGCTCAGTGACTCTAGGAAAAACTATTGCTAATTCATTGCAATTATGAATATAAATGAAAATCTAACAAAGATGGAGTCACTACAGAGTAGTGTTAGTAATATACCTACATCAAGGAAATGGGAAAATTATAGTTGAATAGAAAATATATAAAAGAGCCACTAACCTCCTAAGCCCTTTAAATACTCAGAAATTTCCTTCGGAATTAAAAAAAAAAGTCTGCCGCCAACTCTCTAATTAATTCTATTTTTCCTGATGCTTTTTGAAAAATTTTAAATTATAAAGTTATTTATTTTGGTTTTAATTGCCACTACTGTAATAGAGGAGCCCTGGCGGCACAGTTGTTAAGCATTTGGCTGGTAACCAAAAGTTGGCAGTTCAAATCCACAAGCTGCTCCTTGGAAACACTACAGGGCAGTTCTACTCTGTCCTATAGGGTCGCTAGAAGTCAGAATCAACTCGACTCGACGGCAACGAGTTTGGGTACTGTAACAGAAGTTCTGACTATTATGTCTCATTACAAAAGTAATGTTTTGCCATTTTGTATATGAAATATTTTCTGTGGCTTAGCCTAAATACCATGTAGCATCTTCTCTCCATGGGAAAATATGTTCTGAGTTCAAAATATGCAATTTATAGACAAGTTCTTGAACTATTTTTATAACGCAGGCACTTGTAGTAACTGTACTAACCATTTCTTCTGGTGCAGCTGTAGCTGCAGACCCTGCAACAAGAGGAACAGAAACAGGAACGTGAACAGAAGCAGCAGAAGCAGCCCCAGCAGAAGTAATGGAAGCAGCAGAGGGGACGGCAGCAGTGCTGGCCGTTCCTACTGTCACTGTTGCTGCTGGTGTTGGTGGCCGTGGTGGTGGCAGAACCACTGAGGGCATCAGAGGAGCTGAAGAATCCAAATGAGCAGAAGGTTCTTTTACTTGAACACCAGGAGCATATTCTTCCTTTTTATTACTTGTGATGTCTGTCCCTATAAATCACAAATTAATTTCATTAAAAATCTTCTAAGTTAAGATTACTATTATTCTCAAAACAATGAAACCACATAATAGGTAAAATTTGGTCCTAACAAAAAATGTAGGTATTTGTCATATGTTAGATATAATGTTCAAATAATAGTTTGCCAATTTTCAGTGGTTAATGTCAGCATTAATCACTGAAGACTTCAGACCACTTCCCTCAACACGGAAAAGCTAATGAATGATTTGCTCTTACGTAAAAGATAAAATTAAATGACGTATTCAGCTGGACTTCAGTAAAATGTACTGCCACCACAACCAATACAATAGTATAGTCACACTAAGGGTAAAGATGTATGTTCTTTTACATTATTTCAGACAATTACACTGACAAAATGGCCTGGTATTTAGATCTTTAGAACTACTTTTTTTAATACCACTGTACCCTCTCACTTCTTTCTATTGTTCCTAACAAAAATGATGTCTTTTTATTCTTGACTTTTCAGCAAACAATAATAAATCAGTAAGTAAAACTAAAACCTTCAATTTTGACAATGTAAAAGAAATGCATTCTTGCAGGTAATTACGTAAGTCAAGAATCAAAATTGTATTTCCACATTTATCTGATTGTAGTGGCATGTTAACAGTCTTTATCTAGGAATGAATAATGACAGCTTCCAGAAGTTAGGACAAAGGGTTTCTTGCAACTTTAGATTTTTTTCCAGTATTAGAACGTGGTTAAAGTCTCCACTTTCAACCATACTTATGCAGTAGCAAACACTGAGGTGAGGGCTTGGAAATTCAGTCACTGAGTTATTTCAGAATATCTGAACAGAGGGCACTATGTAGGCCCTATGTTTAAATAGTTTTCTATGTTGGCTTCTTTCCATCTAGAAATTTGGGCTTCTAAAGTCCTTTTCTAAGACAACCTTTATGTAAATTAGGTAGAGTAACAGTTACCTCATTAGCAATGTTTAAGAGAATTGCTGTGCATAGGGTTTTTTTTAATTTTAATGTCCTCTGACGAAAGGTACTACTTCAATATAAAATACTGCTTTTGTTATTAAAACAAAACACACACAGGCACACACATACACGAGTCTCAACCTGTTTTTGATAGAATGTGATTCTGAATGTCTCTTTTTAGATTGGTGGCAGATACTTTATATTTCAGAGGAACCATTACAGGGGTTAGGTCTGGTGCTGGGATACCCTGAAAAAGATGGGTGACTAACTCTCACTAATGTGGGCTGATTTAGCACTTTCTGTTTGTCAGATAACTGTAAGTTTAGTAATTATTCTCACTTTAGACAGGACAGTTTTTTTCAGTTGTAAAGCATTTTCTACTGTGCCTAAAAATAAATTGCTTTAAAAAATTGACAGCTATAACATTTTAAGGTTATTTTTATTGTCACACTCTGCCTTCTTTATAGAAGTCTCTAATTTACAATCTGTAAGATTTAAGATATCGTACAACATAAGATGCAATGCAGATGTATTAGCAGAGAATCACGACAAATAAAACACATCAAATATCTGTTTTGGTCTAACAAGACAGTTGCAATAGAAAACTTGCATTATAAAAACAATTGGTTTAATGGAAGAAAGGGAGCCAGAAGTAATTTTTTTTTCTTGTGAGAATTACATATTTTTTTAAATGACTGTTATTAAAATGACACAAAAACCTAAATATCACAGAGCAAATCCAGCATTAGATTACAGTGAACTTTTGTCTTTTGTAGCTCTACCAGCACTATTGCTGGTGTGTATCTTACTCCTGTCATCTTTATCACCCAAGACCACTCAAAGCAGCTGGGTTGCCAGAACCTGGCATTAGCTCCAGATGAGAGACTTAAAAGCAGTAGGAGCAAAACAAATCATGTTGTCTAATTATCAGAATATATTTTCTCCAAATTCTGTTACAGATATTTGCCTGCAGGAGACACACCCGTATGTGAATTTAAAATTTAAGATAGCAAATTTATTAAGGTAATATAACACTGTCCTAAATCAATTCATAACCTCCTTAAGTAGGTTATAAGGAGCAAGTTTCTTGTAACTGAATGTAAGAAGTTCTAATAATAAGAATTTGTTCTTTACCTACGAAACCCAGTATTTCTTCCAAATAGATAATTAAATTCTTCAACATAATACATACACCTTGCTAATAATTAGAACTGAAAGCAGACTATTCAATCACTGGAGGTGGTGAGTGTGTTTTTGAACAAACTTAAATAGAAGAACATTTATTGGAGAAATCAAACACTCATTTGGGTGTTAGCAGCCTTGAGATTCTATGATTCTAAGCTTTTAACTTGTATATGAGCCACACACCACAACTGCTTCAGGAAAAGAAATGGTTTGCTTTAAACTTTCTACTGTCTCCAGTAAGCATGATTTAAATACTGGTTTTTGATTCTTTAAAATGAGGGCACGACAAGCACAGAGAAGTTATTTACTGGGTTGAAATCATGTAAATGATGGTACAAAATTAAACTGTTTCATTGATAAATGAGTTATGAATCCCAAAGGGAGTTTAATATGAGAGAATACTGCAAAAATGTTCATGTATTTGCATGAAAATTAGGAGTCTGACTTGAATTAAGACTACAGTGATTATATCATGACTCTCATCTTACGTGTTAAAGTACTTTCAAGTATATTTTAAACTGCTTTCAAGTATGTTTCACTGCATCCCTACAAGAACCTTCTATGAAGCTGGTAAGGGAGGTTTTTATTATCCTCTTTGTTCAGAGAATTAAACTAAGGGACAATGAGGAAAACAGACACCAAAGTACATTGGTGGCAAAGGGTTCTAGTTACGTGTTCTTCTAAGCCATGCTGAAGAAACTACTACACAAACACTCAGCTCCCAGCCAATACACAGACCATCTTTGAAATAAATTACTTTACTTGCCTTGTATAGATAGGCCTATATTTACATCCGTTGAAAATGAGTTTTAGTTTGGGCCTCTCTTAAACATCGACCTGGAAGGCCTAGTTTCTACAATGGGACTGTACGACTAGATAAGAAATGCTTAACCAATAAAATCGTACAAGGAAATTGGCTAGTTAGGAAAAACAAAGACAAAATATTTTGCACTTAAAGGCATTAAAAGTATAAGCTAAAAGAGCCTTAAAATTCTGTTATACATTAAAAGCATTATTTTAGCATTAAGCTTTAATAAAGAGTTGGCAGTTTACTTGATCAGATCTAAGATACCATAAGTAACCAGGACTGAGCTACCAGGAAGATTTAAAATGGAATATGACACCATAAAATTAAAAATATCAATGCTTGGATGAGACTTGTCCACTGCAGAAAATTAGCACTGCAGATCATACCAATCACTGAAATCTCCTCAAGTCCTTTTTGAAGGTAGGTACAGAGTCTTAAGTAAAATACTAACCTGTATCATTTCTGTTTTGAAATATAGTCATGGCTTCGAGATTTAATGCACACACACCCCTCATGAAAGCTTTTTTCATGGAATCTTCAAAGTGCTCTTTTTCATGCTGCATCCTCTGTATCTCAGCTTTTGCATTCTCCAAAGCTCCAGTTAACTAAAATAAAGAGAATTTAAAAAAATACAAATGAAAAAGATTTGAGACACAAAGAATATTTGTTATTAAACTAGATTTATATTGTGAAATTATTTTTACGTGAAATATTAAAAACAGTTTGCTACAATTCTCCTGCCATGTGCCTCAATTTATTTTAAAAGGTGCCTCTTACCTCTACTGTGTCCATCAACAAACAATTTTCATTCCTAACCATAAGGGGAATTTTTATAACAGTTCCACTGCTGATTGGTGATGTATTTCAATTATACAAATTAAAACAGAGATACGTGCTTTCTTACCATAAAATTTTTATGTAAGGTATTAGACAAAATATATTAAGAGCCAAAGAAAGCTCTCAACCCTTCAGAAAAAAAAAAAAAAAATTACTAAATGCCTGAAATATTAACAGAATTTTTTTTCTACTGAATGTTATCTTCAGAATTTAAAATGCAAAGTGACATTAGGTATGGCACATTTCCCATAGACCAAACCTAAAGAGACTGCATTTTCTGTATGTCGTCTTGAAGTGCAGAATGTTATTTGTATCATGAAACTTATTTTTAATATTAAGAAGTTAGTGCTGTGATAATGAAATCTTTTTTATCCTTTCAATATCTGATTTCAAGAGATCTACTGAATTCTTCAGTATGGTTTTTATTTCAGGGACTCAAATGTTCCCCTATGGAAACAATGTTAATTTTACTATTAAAAGTCATTGGGAAAAATAATATATATAAAAAACTGTACAAGGACAGATACACTGACCAATGGAACAGAATTGAGAACCCAGATGTAAATCCATCCACCTACAGTCACCTGATCTTCAACAAGGGCCCAAAATCCATCAAATAGGGAAAAGACAGT